TTCTATTGCTCCAAACTTTGAAATTTGAATGAAAAGTTTGCTTTTACTTAGTTACTACTCGTTAGAATGGAATGATCTCTTGCAGTTCAATTACGAGGGCAAATATAAATATTAAGAGGGTATTTGGAACCATGGGCGTTTATTAAATAAACGTTGTCACATAGACGTTAGTTTAGTATTTGGAACCATGGACTTGCAAAAGTAAGTTTTGGTTTATGTCTATACCTACCAATGGGGGAAGTTTTTATGTTGGTGTTTATTTATTATTTTGCTGATGTGGCGCCTAAGTGTCAATAAATGAGTTTACTATTGTTTTTCTTGATTTTTCAAACAAATCAAATACAAAACGTTTAGTCAATAAATATCCACGGTTCCAAACACATATTAAGTTATGCCGTCACCTATGACTTTGGTTGTTATCCGAACCAACATTATTCAAAACTTTTCTTTTGTATTTTAAATCCTCAAGTATGTCCAATAAAAAAGAATAAAGAAGAAAAGATGAGAGAATGATGGGGAGAATACTTAAAATCATTGAATTGGTTAGTGACCAGTTGACTTGGTGGTTGAATCATTGAACCATTTGACTTGAGTAATGGTTTTCAGGCCAATCTTTTTAAAACATCACAAACTGATCATTCAGGCCAGATGGTCAAACTGTTGACCTGAAAACTGATGGCTAAAACGATTTCAATTTCAGATCGATTTGTAAAACATCGCCATAAAATTTTCGTTGAGCTTTTGTTTATACACTTAGAAAGTTAGGTACGTTTTAGGGTTGCCCTAATTCTGAATTTAGTGTGATTGTGGTCCAAAAGGTGGTTGAATTGAGTGATTTCCATGGGACATTTTCTGAAAGAGAAAGGGGATCCATCGTCTAGTGGACCTCTTTCCATGAGCCAAGTTGTGGCCCAATTGCCCTTTTCCACTGTCATTTTATTAACATTTATCTGTTTGATCAAATAAGGAATATTCGACAGCTATTCCTTTCATGACAATCACAAGTTCTGGCTGATTTGGATAAGAGCACTATTGGACTTGTGGCTTATCAGATGGACAGTCTAGATCCGCCCACTCTTCACGTAGAAGAGTTTGATATCATTGGTATGGGCTCTAAATCCAACATTCGTATAAGAGAAACTTCCACTTTATAATCAGGTTTTTCTTGAACTATTCGAGTTTGTTTCATGAAAAGCTCAATTCAGTTTGGTGTAAATTGAGTTTTATGCCAATTTCAAGTCCAATATACAGGTTTATTTGCTAATCAAGTTAAGATCAAGCTCAATGAAGCTCAGCTCATAAAATTCACAAGCCTAAGCAAATTTATATTATGTATAATATTTTTAAGTTCTTATATATATATATATATATATATATATAATTTTTTATACGTATAGTTTCTGTACATATAATTTTTAATTTTTCATATTTATATTTTTTTTTTGTATGAAACTTGGCATACTATCTGATCAAGCCGAACCAAAATAGAATTTATGAGATTTTGAGTTGAGCTGAATTCGAGCTCATGTTTCTAGTTCAAGTCGAACTCAAACCCAAACTTAAGCCTCATAATTTTCTATCGTGATAAGACTGAATAATCAAATATTAAGCTCAGCTCGACTCAAATCCAACCCTACTAGCAACATATGTCACACATTCAAACTTTTATCAATCATAATTAAGGATCATTTCCACTTTTCCTCTCTGATATCCTTGAGCACAATAGTAAAATAACATAGAAGTGCTCTTCTTTGAAGACCATAAATAATCTAAAAAAGAGAAAAGGGAGATTCATAAAATAGCATATTCTTTCATAAAGAAGTTGGGAAGAAAAGCTTTTATGACTTCTTATATCACTTTACATGTGATGACTTTGCCTAGTTGCCTTACTAGACCAGTAATTCATTTCCTTTTCTTTTTCTCTATCCCTATGTGCATCACAAAAATACCAAAAGCTTATCCAAACAAGCCCATCTCATGACAGTAAACTGATCGTCAACAATGACAGTAAGCTTTTAATAACTCTTGATTTTGCCACTATACTTGTATTGAGTTGATCATAGGAATGTAATTCATATTCAGCACCAATCCAACAGTTGGAATCAGAATAGGTTATTTCAGTCTCTTATTCCCACGGACTGAACAGACTCCACCATCCATATTGGTGGGGGTGGGGGGATAATTTTGGCTTTGATTGTGATGGTTCAAGCTCGTTTATTAGATATATGATAACCACTTCCATTACAGTTTACCCCATGGAGGGACGATGTAGCCAGTCCAAAAGATCATCTGATGTGCCACCATCCAGATGATTCTGTGTTTCATTTGCCAATGGCATCCATTAGGGGTTTTAGTTACGTAACAAACGATACCCGGAAGGCCAGAGCCAATGTTTTTCTCTTCTTTCATACAACAGGGATAGGCCTGTTAGGTAGACTGTAACCTTGGGATTCTAAGATAGACAGGAAATTCGTATTCACATAATTTCTTTCCAAAGTCTTGTATCTTCTGTGTCTTGCCTTTCTTCTCTCATGTCCCTTACCCATGTCAGTCCATTCCACCACTTGATTTTTTTTTTTACTTATGATGATTCCATGTTCCTCATGGTCTAGACTCCAAATCCTCAATAGGAACTGGGCCAATCATGATCCACGACGTCAGACTAATAATGGGCCTCATATGTATGAACTTGATGAGTTGATATGAATGTGGTTGTCTATTTTGGTTGGCCCAGTATTTCGGGCAAAGCTGTAGATGATTCGAACTCCGCTGTCTGTATAATATAGGGCCATTGAGCCAATATAGTGGGCCTGACTTGGGTCGGAAGCTATAGGGACTGCACGAAGGTTGAATTGGCCTGTCGTAACTTCAAGTGAAAAGCATCACTGGAATTAGGGTGGCCATGAGCCGAATTTTACATGAGCTATTCGAGTTTGATTTGTCTCGTTTTAAACCGAGTTTTGAACAAGTTCAAACCTGATATATAGGCTCATTTACTAATCAAGCTGAGCTGGAGCCTGATGAAGCTCGATTCGTGAGGCTTGCAAGACTAGTATAATAAATAAATATTTTTTTATATACATACATATATATATATATATACATATAAATACATATATATATATATATAATAAATAATTTTGTTATATGTATTATAATATTTTATATATAATATTTTTATTTTTTATGTATTAGTAAATAACTTTTATGATTCTTACCTTTTGTAATGTATAATAAAAATATTTTTATATGTAGTATTTTTATTTTTTAGAAAAAAAACTTGGCTTGCAATCAAGCTCAAACTTGCAAATTTTGAAATAAGTCAAGCTCGAACCTAATACAATTTCAGTGAGTTGAGCTCAAATAGCAAAATATTCAGCTTGACTCAACTCGAATCCACCCCTAACTTAAAAATTAGATTCAACATCACTTGAACTCGGGCCTGATATGCCTATTAATAGATCTGAAATAAAACTCAAAAGTCTGAGGTTGTGAATGCATCTGATGGAACCCCGAATATTTGCCTAAATACAGATTTGAGACGTTAATACTTGGATTCAATCAAATCTTGTCCTTCATATTGAAATGGAACTTGGGGTTTCATTTTATATCTTAGGATTGGTTTAAGTGGGGCGAATTCAAACCGAGCCAAATATATGACTATCCAAGTTTAGTTTGTCAAAAAATCATGAGGATTGAATTTGATTCAAGTTAGAGATTTGAGTTCGAATTCAATTCGACTCAAAAGTTCGAGCTCAGTTTGATTAAAACTCGACTGTAAGCCAAATTTCTAATAAAAAAATAAAAAATTATGTATATAAAATAAAATATTGTACATATAAAAATTATTATATATATAAAAGCCCGGTTAAACTCATGAGTTCATTGATCTCCAACTAATAAAAGCTTGATGTAGTTTAGAGACCAAAACGCTGAATCTAGGCTATCTAGCTTCTAGCTTTTCACAATAGAAGCTGCAATATGTTACAAAGCAGTGGGAAGTCACCAAAATAATTTTACATTTTCTTAAAAAATCTTGTAAGATCCAAAGTTATTTTGAAAAGGGACAGTTTAAAGTTCATCATAAATTTTCAGCATATCTCTTAAATTCACCATAACTTGTCTAAAACTTATCATATCACTAATTTGACATTAAACATACTATGAGTGTTAATATATTACCATTTTAATCTTTATTAAAAAAATATAAAATATAACATGAAAAAAAAAGAAAAAGTTCAAAAAAATTTTTTTCAAATATAAAATACACAAAAATTACAAAAGATGTAAAAAATTATAAAAATTGCAAACAAAATAAAAAAAAAATATTTTCAAATTATAAAAATTATAGAAATTAAAAAATAATATCAAAAAATAAAAATTGTAAAAAAAAACAAGAATTATAGAAAAACACAGAAATTGCAAATAAATAACAAAAAATAAAAGAAATTTTATAAATTATAAAAAATAAAAAAAAATATAAAAGATATTAGAAATTATAACAAAACACTAAAAATGCAAAAAAAAATGAAAATTAAAAAAACCTTTTTCCCACCTAAACTAAAGAAAGGTGAGTTTTAAGATGAATTTAAGAGAAATGCTAAAAACACATGGTAATGATACGTTCTCCCAAATAACTTTCCCACCTAAACGGGTGGAAGAGCACCCGCACCGTGGAATCAGTGCTTCCTCAAGTCCAAATAAAACAGCGCTCAAACCAAATCAAGGCTATGAGTCTAGGACCAGACCATAAGCGGGGGAGCGTCAGAGCGTGGCTGAGACGAGACGCCCCACGTCAGTCGCTTCAACTCTGCACCTTTACGGCTTTAGTGCTTTACCAACCGATACATCCATTTATCCCGCCCGTTGATATCGGCCATATCGTGTCGGTGGATAACCGAATAACCGTTAAAAAATAAAAAGGAAAAGAAATTAAACAAACGAAAAGACCAGTCCATCAGCGAAGCGTTGACCGTCCACGATCACTGGGGTCCACCGGCTCCATCAAGCATTAATTAATTATAATTAATCACAACTATACACCAACAAATCTGTGCCATTGCTTCTATAAACAGCGTTTCAGTAAACCTTAAAACTAAACGCTTTCTCCCGAAAGAAAGCATTTACAGAGCGAAAATCGGAAATGCTGCAACACTTTCCTCCGCAGCAACCACTTTTGTTAGCGTTAATAAGAAGAAAAAGAACCCCCCCATCAAAACAAATTTCATCTTCTTTTTCCACCTTTTTTTCTCTTTTTTTTATGTTGCAAATTTCTGATAAGAAACTAGAAAAAAAAAAAAAAGAACTAGTTTTCAAGCACGGCCGCCATTACAGCTTCCTTCAAGGTCGGTAAAGCAAGGACTCGAGTGGAGGAGGAGTAGAACGTTTATGTCTACTACTACTCTTCGCAGAAGCAGACGTTGATGAAGATGTAGACGTTACGGAATTTGAGGAAGATGTAGCAGAAGCAAACCTGCTTGAATGGCTCCTCAGCTTCTTCTTATCCCCCTCGTAACCCCTGTTACTCTCCGACCTCTGATTCCGGACTTTGACCGCATTCAAGTCCGCCGGTAGAACACAGTTACAGAATAAACCTTTGATTCATCAACCCAAAACCAGTTCAGATTTCAGAACGAATTAAAAAAATAAAATTTTTTGCACAGTAAAAAAATATTAAAAAAATCGGCTAATTTTTTTCCGCTTACCGAGTCTGGCGAGTCGGTTGACCCAGCGAGGGATCGGTTTACCAGTGAGTCTGAGGCAGGCGTCGTTGCAGAAATGGTTACAGTTCTTGGTGATGAGATTGTAGGTGTTGCCTGTGTATTCCTCTGCCAGCTTTTCCATGAACGCTCGGACTTCTCTGGGACCTAAATCCGTTCTTCCTATCAAGATGGACTTCCTGAACGTGAAACCGGGGCATTGTTTCGGCTCGCCTTCGAATATCCCCGTTGTTGGGAAATCGTGCGCGCCGAAGGCATATTCGACGCCATGTACTGCAGGAAGCAAACAGAAAACAGATGGCTAATTTAACAAATTTAACAGATCTGGATTTACAGGTGAAGATTAGTTATGAAAATCAAGGAATCATCTTTCTATTGATTCTACTCTGGTCCAGTTCTCTTAGGGTTTTGATAGATCTGGTATCTAACTGAGCAGACGGGCCACAAAACCGGTGAAAAAAAAAAGAGGAAACTGCTGACCTTGTTCGCCGGACTGAACGAATCAAAACAAGTTATAATCCATATATGAATAGAAAGAGAAGCCAGAAGCTGACCTTGAACACCGGAATGATAAACGCCGAGGCCGAGCCAGTAGGCGTAGCCATTAATCGGGGTGAGATCATAGACATTGAGATACACAGGGACGGATCCCGTTTTTCTCTTCCGGGAGATGACTCTGCAAAGCATCTTTCCGTTTCCTTTCTTCAGAGCTTCAAGAAGAAAAGGAACTCCTCCAATAACTGCAATTTCAAAGAGAGAGATGCATCTCAAGTCTCAACCCCGAAACCGGATCGAACGCAGAAAAGGTTTTGGAATGTTCCTGCAAATAAGAACAGACTGGTCGAACGAGGAGAACGAGAGACAGAAGAAGAAGAAGAAGAAGAAGAAGAAGAAGAAGAAGAAATTCTGGCGTGATGAGTGTTGGCGTCTCTTTTGTGTCTATGAATTATTTTACTTTTTTTAATTCCCAGAACTCATAAAAAATTCTCTCTTGTCATTGGATTCCACCGGCGGCCGAAAGTCACCGTCTCTTCCTTCCATTACCGGCCTCGCCTCTTATACTAAAAGTCGGCTGAATTTGAGGCTTCGAATATCTATATTTTACAACTCCATGCCCCTCGATTTCCTAGAAATTACGATAATGACGATCAGCGCGTCGGTCGCTGAGACTTGTGAGTCATCGTCGGTCCAACGTGGCGAGATCGATAGCCACGTAGCAGAGGAGCCGTTGACCCCAGATATCCACACAAAAATATTATCATTCATCAGTCATCACCACTTCTAATTTTAAACATACAATATTAACCACGTGTCGTGCAGATACCTGTCCAAGTTTTGAAATATGTACAAACCTCCTGTTGGGTCAAAATTTATACGTGGCGCATAGACGTGTTCATGGGTCGGGTGGCCCGAGGGGCCGATCGGGCCCCGGACGGGCTTGAGCATGCAAATGAGCCCGCGGGTTTAACCTTGGGCTAAAAAGCCTGGCCCGCAATAAATTCGAGTCGGGCTCGGGATTTGCCAAAATAGTTTGGCCCGAGCCTGACCTATAGATTAAACTTAAAAAACCCTAAGCTGAACCTCTCTACTCTTTCACCTCTTTCCCCTTAGCCGAACCTCTTTTTTCTTCACATCCTCCTCAATCCTCACACTCACAGGCAACCACACAACCGGTGAGGCGGCGAACATTCACCGATGCAACAATTCCGACAGTGAGTCCTTTCCTCTCTCTTTCTTTCTCTCTCTCTCGTTCCTCTTCTCACTTCTCTTTCAAATCTGAGACACCGGCGAGGCGGCAAATATAGACATTGGTGGTGGTGGTGAGTTCTCTCTCTCTCTCTCAAACGCAAACTGACACACTTTTCACTGTTAAAGTTGCAATTCACCTCGAACTCAGCTCCGACGAACATAGTCACCGGCAGTGAGTAAAAGCTTGAGCTTGGGCTTCGAGCTTTTTATCAAGGCCGAACTCGAGTTCAAGTTGTAGGCCCGTTGGTCGGGCCAGATTTAGACTCAGGCCTAACAAATTTCTATTCACGAAGAATAAAAACCCGGCCTGAGCCCGGCCCCCCCGGCAAATGAACAGGTCTAGTGGTGCGCATGTTCAAGAACGAGTTGCATCTTTTTCTTTGCTCATGGCATCCTAGACGGGTCGTATAGATAAAGACACGTGGAGTTTGATGCCAAGAAAAGGAAAAGTGGGGTACGAGTTGTGACCAGATTCTAATCTAAGGGCATGCGAAGAATCTTAAGTGAGTCGGCACTTGATAAGTTGATAGTACGCTCTACAACCAAAGAGCACGGTCCACGAAGTATATGCATTAGTTGGTGGTCGTGACATATGGGAACCGAGTTGTCAGGGCTGTTTGCAGCGAGGGGATTGATCATTAACGCATGGCAGTAGCTGGCGCAACACATTTATGTGGCATGTCCCCTCGTCGCTGTTACATAAGATTCAGCGCAATGAGTCGTCGCCATGAGGCCAAGGAAGAGAACTTAATCGCCTGATGCCGTATGGAGTGAGTACGTGGTGGGGCCGGGCGAGTACTCAAACGTGTGCTTCTTGTCTCGAAGGCCATGTGTCATGTTCCCAAAATGGAATTGGGTCCCGCGTGTCATGATGACGTGGCAAAATAATCAAGATTCCAACCTTTACCGTCAGAATCTGGCAAATAGGTAATACAATTTTTCGACACCTCAACACGGCCGTAAATCACTGCTTAATGTGACTCGGGGCCAGGTAGGCAGATAGGATTTTGCCTTTTTTTGGTGGATTTGAACTTTTGAAAGCCACGTGGCCACGCCTTAGTTAAGTTGCAGATACTTT